TAAAGTGTATCTCACCAAACAACTAAAGCGTATCAAGTAATCACCAGTTAAATCATGATGGTGAAATGTGTGTATCATCGGTCTCACCTGCAACTAAAGTGTATCTCACCAAACAACTAAAGGGTATCGAGTAATCACCAGTTACATCATGATGATAAAGTGTGTATCATTGGTCTCACCTGCAACTAAAGTGTATCTCACCAAGCAACTAAAGCGTATCAAGTAATCACCAATAAGAATGCGATCACCAAGACGGCGGCCAGTYTCGCCCACATACAAAAGATTACAGCGGGTACTTTGATACAATATACAACATTAGAAGTTGTACAAACAAATTGGTCAGTGTTTTTAACAGTGTATGATTTACCTTTTTATCATTACTGTTTCATTAGAAACACCGACGCAGCTCACACTAGTTTTTAGCTAGTTATATCATATTACATCATGATGCGTGTTTTAGGTTTATCAATTCATGTAATCAAAACCAACTGTGAATAAAGTGAAAGTTTATTCCTAGATACTATCGACACCCGCCTCTTCTCTTTATCAATGTTGTTTCGCCTAATGATTGGTTCAACATACATAAACACTCTTTCATTCAACCAACATTGTTAGGGCAAAGGGGGCTGGAGAGGAAGATGTGTTTCTTAATGGAATTGAGCTTCAGTTCCTGTGTTGTCCAGGTCAAAAGGGAGTTGATCGCCAATTGCCTTGGACCTATTTCATAACCATCATACATAGTCCAAGAAATATAACACTTACGAGATTCAAATCCTACTCGTTGTTCCGACCTCATTCTCCTCATTCCCGCGAAGTGTACCATGTCTCTATTTTACCAAATTGCAGTGATTTTACGGCAACTTCAATGAACTATGGATTTGTATCGTTCACGTTTTATGGACGTGTGTTATGCCACTCTTTGCTACATTTATTCTATATTCAATAATGATTAAGACTTTTTGATGGCTAACAATAATGATCGACATTTGTAGTCAAGGAGATGCTGGACCCGCACACTCATAGGTTGGAAAAGTTGAGAGTGTTTAGGCGCTGAGAAGAGTATTGAAATCGGGAATAACTGTTACACTCACTGTCATATAGCCTAGTACTTGTGATTAGGTATTCTTATGGTTAAAAACCAAATTGAGCAGGAGTTTTGTTCGGGCCTGCATCTAGGCTCTTCGACATAGTTAAAAGGAATCAGAATTATACTGTAAGCCAGTTGAGTTGGATCACGTAACTTGTATCACTTTCATCCAGAAGTCTACCGCAATAAACGTTAAAGGTAGTTCCTTGCCTCGGGGATCCTAGCCGGTACCGTAGTCTTGTGAAACACGTGACGCAGTATGATGTCTTGAAAACCAGAAATCAAATTTGCTAAATCAGACTTTACAATAATTTCAAAACATGGTCTTTTAAATTTGGTTTTTAACATACATTAAACAGGGGGCTGTATTTTTTCTACTCTTTTTATGCTCATTTTCATAATCATGCGAATCAGACAACTAGCAATAATTCGCTTAAGGTCTAGGTTTTTGTCTTCTTTTAATACAATTTCAGTTCGGCAACAATCCGAGCTAGAAAATGTTTGATTGAGGGCAGCCAAAAACCCTGTTGTTTTGGGCTGTGTTGGTTACTTATTAATGAGTTTGATAATACTTGATACGCTTCAATAGCGATGCGCGGACGCTCTAAAAATAGATTACGTCAACTTTGGACCCCCCGCAAAGGTCGGACAACCATTGCTAAAGAATAGTGAGTCGAAGGGAAGAATATATAGTTGTTGTCGAATATTTTGTGCTGTAAATGGTCGCGACAAAGCACTGCTGTTGGGGAGAGTGTAAGACTGATTCTAGATATCCTGATTTGCTTCACCCGGCGCTAAAGAAGAGATTGCAGGAAGGTAAACCGATATTTCTACCGTTCCCAAAGAAGTCCCAAGGACTCGAGAGATGTACTAGATGGGTTAATGCTTGTGGTCGAGGTAAAGCTTTTACAGTAGATCGTGTCACAAAACACACATATGTATGCTACTTGCATTGGCCAGGAGAGGCAGGACCTACAGAGGAGTTCGATGTGCCCTTGAAGGCAACTCTGAGCCAAATGGAAGTATTGAAAGCGTCAAGACGAAAGCGAAAGCCGCCACGTGAAAGACATGCGGACGCCGTTCCTTGTAAACGAAGTCGATCGGAGGCAAGCCAAGACCAACCATCTTCAGTCATCAACGAAGCTAAAGTTGATAACAGCACTGAATTTAATGAAAATCCCACACCAGAGGATGACTTACAGAA